CTGGAAGTGGGAGACCCATCAAAGGGATACTTTTAGAGCCTAATTTAGTATGAGATCTAGAAGTTTAGGCTATGCAGGCAGACCCCTGGTTTCATTTCTAAGTTATTTCTATATAAGTTTATCTCTTTAGTTGGATTATAAATACTTTCTGGTCAGAGACCAAATCTTTTTCGTCCTTGTTTTTCTGTGTGCCAAGCCCTTTGCAGGAGCCAGGTGGATCAGTATCATTGTTCATATTCCAAAAGAGCAAATCTTTCCTGGCAACACAAAGATACAACTATTAACATGTGTCCATACTCTCTGTTCTCTTTTAAAGCTTCAGTCATCAATAGGTAATAATGAAAACTACAATTTTTGTCCCTAAATTTTTCATTTCTGAGTCATAACATGAAAATATTTTGTGATACACATCTCATGGGCTTTTGCAGACTTGATGAGTCTTGGAGTCTTTAATAATCATGGATATGTTCTCCTGAGAGAGAACATGTCCTTACTACATGCCATGCCATTCTACACATGAAGAGCTCTGTAATTCCAAATAGGTGACTGGTAGCCACTGTTGCATCTAGCTTTCTCCCTGGCAAATTTAAGAGGAGCCTTTATTTCATCCAACATGTACAGACTGAACCAATATATTCTGGGCATTTTCTAGATGCTGTGGATAAAACATCTAGTGAGCAACACAAGACCCTTACAGTTAGGGAGCTTAGAATCTAGCATTAAGTAGAACAGGTAAAAATCACATGTAAAACTAACTTAATGAGATCATCTTGGATAGTGATACACAGTCACATAAAAAGGGAACATGATAAAGTAATTAAATAATAGAGAGATGGAGGGACCTACATCTAGACTGTCTGGTCAGGAAGAATTATCTCTTAGGAGACACTTGCCCTGAGGCTGGATTTAGAATCCACTGAAAGATTTTTATCTAAGGGTGTGAAACAATCCAATTTGCAGTTTCAAAAGATCAGTCTGGCTGCTGTGTAGAGAATGCCTTACAGAGGTTTCAAGATTATAAGCAGAAAGACCAGTTGTTGCCTACCTCCAGGAGAGAGGAGGTATAGCCTGAATCAGGATGGTAGGAATGAAAGTAGAGGAGACACATTGTCTACATATAAGAAAATATGGCAGGACTTGGAAAGAAATGGATGAATAAAGGATAGCTCCTGACTACTGTTTGGGTCTTGCTAACATTTTTTGAATTGGAGAAGACTAGGGACAAATGTGTTTTGGAATATAAATCAAGAATTCTACTTTCATCATGGTGAGTTTGAGATACCGCCTAGACAGGAACATAGAGAGTTAAGTAGGCAATTGGATATGCAATTCCTAAATGCAATAGAGAGATCAGAGTTGGAGACAAATATTTAGAAGTCAGTGAAACTATAGGCGGTATTTAAACCAAAGGGTGGATGTCACCCAGAATGAGACTACAGAGCAAAGCAGGTGAATAGGATTGAACCCCAGGGTATTCCAAATTTAGAGGCCAAGTAGCAGAGGTAGAATGGCCAAAGGAGAGGGGGAAGAAGTCTCTAGGCAGGCAAGAGGAAAACACCGAAAGAGTCATGTCACACAAAGGAAAGTGAGGGTCTAAATAAAGAAGGCATATTCAACTTAAATGCCACCGAGAGGCTGAATTGGATGAACACAGACAAGTGGCCATTATATTTGACAACACAAAGGTGACCCTAACAGGCGCAGCAGAGAATATAAGCCAACGTGGAATGTGTTGTAACAGAGAATAGGAGGCAATGAGGACAGTGAATATAGAATCATATTTTCAGGAAGGTTTTGTTCAAGGGGGAGATGTGTGACAGTAACTGAAGAGAAATGTAATATCAGTGATCTATAGAGTTTTTTAGATATATGTTTAAAAAATTTTTTTTTTAAAGATATAGAGTATTATTAGAGCATGGTCTTGTTTCCTAGAGAAACTACCCAGTAAAAAGGAGTAGGCTGATGACTATAACAGTTAACTTACTGTCTCTCAGCTCCAAACTCACCCTTCAATATGTTCTCTGAAATAATGGACCGAATTCTATTAAGCATCTCTCCTGCACATTGTCAAACGTTCTCAGTAGAGGGCATTGGAGGGACATTAGAGGAGGAAGGAGCTATGCTGCTATGTCCAATGGCTCTGCAGTGGGTTGGTGTTGTGGGTATGGGGCTATCTGGTGGAGCTCCTCCCCTGTCTAACCTGTCCATCATTTGGTGACCTTGCAGCCTTGTCCTGGACTAGTGATAATCTTCCCTGGCCTTTGCAACAGGGAAAAGTCACTACAAATCTTCCTGCCTGTGAAGGCCTCCTGTTTGCTTGGGCACCCATTCCCTCAGCAGGCCTCCTGCAGAGTTTGCCTGCGTCCCAAGGCCCCGCCCCCTCGGCATGCCCATGCCCCTGCTTGCCAATCACCTGCACCCTGCCCACACCACAGAGGATGTTTTTTGCTTGCCCAGCAACTGCACACCAGCTGTGGCCTGGGCCAACCATCAACCTCTGCTACTTTCACCAACATGGTCTGACCCTTTGCCTTGGGAGGGCCCCTTCCATGTTGCTCCTTCCTTGGATTCCCTCCCTCTACCATAAGTGTACCATATGGTTTCCTTATATATTACAATCACTCCTTTATCAAGGGTTTAATAATTCTATGAGACTTCCTTGGTTTAGTTCACAGTGTGGTTTCTCCCTTCTTTTTTTTTTTTTAAAGATTTTATTTATTTAAAAAAAAAGATTTTATTTATTTATTTGAGAGAGAGAGAATGAGAGAGAGCACATGAAAGTGGGGAGGGTCAGAGGGAGAAGCAGACTCCCCGCCGAGCAGGGAGCCCGATGCGGGACTCGATCCAGGGACTCCAGGATCATGACCTGAGCCGAAGGCAGTTGCTTAACCAACTGAGCCACCCAGGCGCCCTACAGTGTGGTTTCTACCTTCTAATTGGATCCAGAGTGATACAATGACGAGAAATCATAACTGCGGGAATTCAGCAATACCTGGTACATAATATATACCAGTTTTTGAAACATTCTCCTTGGCAAGATCCTCATTTATGTAATTAAAAAACACTCACCTTCTTAGTTTCTTCTCAGTATATTTTTTAACATCATTGCCTCTTGATAATGGTTTTCCTTGGAAATATTTACCTCTTTGTTTCTTTTAGGAGTATTTATCCATCTGTAAGAATCCATCCTGCCCAAAAGGCTGAGTGCCAGGTGTTTTCACTTTTTCCTCCTATTAGAAAACCAACTTGCATTTGCTGTGTACACACTTGGCAATCATCTCAGATGGGAAATGACCACACCAAATGTCAAGGAGACATAGAGACTGTTACTTCTGTGTTTATGATGATTCAGTTTTTGGAAGAACCAGAAGTGCTAACTTCTGAGAGCTATTCTGAATGTATTACCCTATCTGAGCCTATACTTTCTCTTAGGATTTATACATCTCTTGGGATATATAAAAACATATTTCTCTTTCTTTTCTTAAAAACTGTAGGACACATTCTAATTTTTAGTCTCTGTTCTAAAATTAGAGCCCTCTGTGTCTTTTTTAAAAATCTGTCCCTTTAGCAAGACCTCCAATACCCCTTATCCATTCTCACCCCAGTTGAAGCGTGGTCATGGAAAGTCACTTCATTAACAGAACACATGCTGTGCTGGGTTTCCTTGGTTTCACAACTCTTGTTCATTCTGACCTTAGCAACGACAAGAGTCTATAGTGATGCCCAGGTTCAGGTAACCAGTCCCTCCCTCCCTTGCATTCTCCTCCTCTTATTCTCCCGCTCCTTCTATTTTCTCCTCCCTCGACTGCCTTCCCATTGTAATTAGGATAAAATTCAAACTCCTTGCCATAGGCTACACAGGCCATACATGATCTGGCCCCTGCCTTCCTCTAATTTCTCCCTCCATATTTCCTGCATTGACAATACTCCAGGCATAATGATCTCCTGTTCCTTAAATAAACCAAGCCCCATCATATCTCAGAGGTTTTGCAATTGTCATTTTTTTCTGTCCCTGCTTTCTCTCATGGATGACTCCTTTCCACTAGTTTGATCTCATTTGAAATGCCTTCCTCTCTGGGATGCCTTCTCAACTATACTTGTCACCTCCATCACCAGCATGCCATCACTGTCCACTATATTACATCATATACTTTGTTGATACTACTTTAGCAGGCTGGAATTTATATCTTTATCTTTTTCATTACAGTGTAAATTCTTTGATGGCAGAGAATTCATGTGTCTTTTTGACCACTTTATCTCTAAAGACTAGAACAGTTCCTGGCACATAATATTTTTTGACCATCTGAATGTTTACTGGGCACTGAACCATGAACATGGCAAATAAGTAGAAAATTATCTCTTACCCAGAGGAAACTGGGTAAATAGATTATGTTTCTATTATAATTGTTCTTTCTTAGAAGCATCAAGAGTAGGCCAGAGGCCCAGTGGTATCTGGGGCATGGTTTAGAGTGAAAAATTAAGGAAGAATAGGATGCCAAATTGTTTTATAATAATTATACTGCCCCTTTCAACTGAAATTCTATCAATAATTCTTGTTTGGTCAAGTTTTGGGAAGGTCTGTTAAAATGCAAGAGAAAGAGGTTAAAATGTTAACCTACATGTGTAGATTAGAGAAACCAATGTTGTTGATTATCCATGATTTTCCAACATGTTTTAAGCAGTGGAGCTTTCTTCAAATCAAAAGCCCTCCCACAAGTTCAACACACCTATAAGTTAACCTGGCTGATAGCTTGCTGAAATGGTGCGGCAGAACTTGTACCCTGCCCACCAGGCACCTGTTCTAAGTCCTGCCCTGCAGGCGATACCTGAAGTACCACTATAGCACCCAGATCTGCACAGAGCAAGGTTTGAAAAAAATCACAAGTCTTAGACTGATTCCTTAAGTTGGGAAATAGGCCCAGAGGTCTGAAGTGCTTTATCCAAAGTTGTAAAATTACTGTCAACAAAAGGACTGAAGCTCAGCTTCTTGAATTCTAGGGAACTGTGTCTTTACCTGTATTGTTCTATATTGCTGGAGGATAAATTCTATCAAATCAGATTAGCTTCCAGCAGTGGGAGTTCTTACAGGGAGAGAAAAGTCAGAGGTTTTCAGTATCCAGGGAGCCCTGCTTAGAACTTTGTTGCTCCTCTAGGACTGCAGACATGGAGAACTGCCTTACAGGACTTCTCTTGCCACTTGGAAATCATCTTGAGCTTGTCTTTAGCAGCAGAAACAAGAAAATGGGACTGCTTTCTCCAAATATTTTAAAATAACTTTATTGCACTGGATTTCCACGAATCAGAGACAACTTTTAACCATTAGGTGTCTTGACTTCTCATTTGTGAAGAGTAGCAGGACTCTGATCAAGAAGTGTAGGTCCTTTTCATGGGCACTTTTAGTTTTTATTCTTAAGTGGAGGCCCAATTAGAAATAATTTATTTGGTTGAATTGGTGGTTTATGGATTAGCCATAGTGCAGATTCTCTCATGCTAATTGGGAGTTCAGAGCCAAACACAGGAACTGGCATGATAGCAAACACTTTATAAATGTTTTTAATTAAGTGAATGGATTTCAGAGGTGTTATCTAGCAAATATAGTTTAGCAATATACTAACTTGATTTCTGACTACAGATTGAGGTGGGTGGACATTATTTGTGCCATATGCAATTGTTATATCCCAGGCATCAATGATGCCCACATTGAGGTCTTGAAAAATATCCTTAATGGCAAGATACTGGACATAACCATGAAAGTCACTGAATCTTTCCACATCACCGTGCATCTCCCTGATGTTTTCTGTCTTGATAATAACCATAGTGTCTGGGCTTCTCAGAAGAAGACGCTGAACAGCTTTGTGGATATTGAGGGTCCTTCGGATAAAAACATCAATGGGGAAGGGTCTGAAATGCTGGCCCAGAGAAATTACAATGATGATGTTTTTTCCTCCTCCAGTTCTGTCAATGACTCGTGCGATGTACTCAATTTCTTTCACTGAATAGCTCAATGAGCCAACCAAAGGGTAACCATGTTTTTGCCACTGGATGTTGATATTCTCGTCCAAGTCCACAGCAAGTTGGTGTTGAAGTTTTCCAGATTCATGTAGATCCACTGACTTCAGTGCTGATGACAAATAGGCAATCCCAAAATGAAACAAGTATAAAGTTATAAAGATCATAAAGACAGAAGAAAAGGTTTGGTGTTTACAATAAGTTAATCATGACTGATTATAGGCTTAAATGAAGGAACAGTTGTGAAAATTATTTGAACAATCCAAAGTGTTCTACAGATAAGGAGTTATATATGCTCCCTTGTAGAATCATGTAGATGCAAATTGACTGGGGATGGTAATCACTGAAGTAACTTCATTGGAGCATGATGTAGTTAACTTTTTAGGTATTATTTTTGTACATCTTGTGAGCTGTAGATTAAGCTTGAGGATAGAGAAAGTACTAATTAGTGTTTTTACATTTAAAAAAAACCGAGTAAACCTATTTCTCCAAATACTCTAAGTTTCCTTAAGACTGGAATTATATACATATAAATATATATATATAAATATATATTTATATATATAAAAATATATTTTTAATATATATTTTATTTATATATAAAAATATATTTTTATATATAAATATATATATAAAAATATATTTTTATATATAAATATATATATATTTATATTTAAGATTTTATTCATTTATCAGAGATAGAGAGTGAGTGAGCACAAGCAGGAGGAGGGGCAGGCAGAGGGAGAAGCAGGCTCTCCTCTGAGCAGGAAGCCCAATGGGGGACTCCATCCCAGGACCCTGGGATCATGACCTGAGCCACTCAGGCATCCCTGGAATTATATTCTATACTTTTGTGTTTCCTTTTCATATGCTTAGAATGTTACTGAGCATCTCATCTATAATAGTATTACTATTCATTTGTGAAGGGCTTCATAGTTTACAAAGCATTTATTTAGATATATTCATACACCTCAAATCATGCTCCTCTCCCTCTACACACACACACACACACACACACACACACACAGTAGTCCCCCTTATCCATTCAGGATACATTCTAAGAGCCCCAGTGGATGTCTGAAAGTGCAGATAGCAATATATATATATATACACACACACACACACTATATATATATATGGTGTGTGTGTGTATATATAGGGTATATATATGTATAGGGTGTGTATATATATATAGGGTGGCTCCATTTCCATACATACATACTTTATCATAAGTATGTATGTATAGGAAAAAACATATATATATACACACATACAATGTTTTTTCCTATACATACATACTTATGATAAAGTTTAATTTATAAATCAGAGTAAGAGATTAACAATGAAAATAAAATAGAACAATTATAACGATATACTGCAATAAAGTTATGTAAATGTGATCTCTCTCAAAATATCTTCTTGTATGGGACACATCCTTTTTCTGTGATGATGTGAGATGATAAAATGCCTACATGATGAGATGAAGTGAAATGAATGATGTAGGCACTGTGACACAGACTGAGGCTACTATTGACCTTCTGACAATATGTCAGGAGGATGATCTGCTTCCAGACTGTCGTTGACAGTAACTCAAACTGTGGAAAGTGAAACCAACTGCTACACACACACACACACACACACACACGTCATGTTGTAGAAAATCAAGAGATGAAATGACCTGCTCAAGATTACAGAGCTACTGACAGAATCTGCACCTCGATTTGAGGCTGCTCCCAATTCTTATGAAAACCGTCTACTCAATCTTAGAACCCATGAAAATATGAGTATAATACGAATAGAATAAAATGAAGTCCTTCCACTTTTCATCCTATAAATTAGGCCTTTATCAGACTACCAGGGCCAGCTGCTTTGTAGTTAGAAGTTCTGAGAAAAGTATGTAGAAAAGGATTATTAATGCTTTGTAACAAGTGCCATCTTTGAAGTAAAGGGCTACATTTAAAGTTTTCACCCACGGTGTTTGAAAATAGACACTGGAACAGTGGTTGAAGGAAAATGGCAGTATCATTGTCTTCATTCTGCTTCTAATTTACTTCAATTTCCTTTTCCAAAGCCTGCTATAAAATTTAACTTTTAAGAAAATGTGCAACAGGGGCGCCTGGGTGGCTCAGTTGGTTGAGCGACTGCCTTCGGCTCAGGTCATGATCCTGGAGTCCCTGGATCGAGTCCCGCATCGGGCTCCCTGCTTGGCAGGGAGTCTGCTTTGCCCTCTGACCCTATCCCATCTCATGTGTTCTCTCTCATTCTCTCTTTCTCAAATAAATAAATAAAATCTTAAAAAAAAAAAAGAAAATGTGCAACAGACATTTTGCTACAATTTAAAAGGTTAGACAAAGAAGGAAGTAACTCATTAAATTCTGTACTTTCTATAGCCTAAGAGACCCACTGTTATAGAAAGTGATGCTAAAGATTACCATCGAACCCTGAATTTTATAGATGAGGAAACTGAGGTCTGGAGGAGTTCAGAGGTCATAATTTACAACTCTCCCCCTTTTGTTGGGAATTCTACCTATTTCTTGGAGCCAAGTCCCCTATTTTCTCTTTTTATTGGAAGGATCAGCTGACCTTCTAAGTTTGAGATCACAAGAGTGGCATCATGTCAGAAAGGTCATAATGGAGCCACAGAAGGCGCACTATTCTCAGTGATGACAGCCAGGACCCAGGACCCAGTAGGCAGGCAGTCACAGTTTGCCAGTGAAGAGTGCTAAGATCTACTAGTGAATTCTCTATTATTACTGGTGCATCCTTGGTTTAGTAAATAGAGCAACTGGACTAGGATTCTAGCCACTGGATTCCAGCCCCAACTTGGACATGGGATACAGCTGCAGTAGCTCTTGTTCACTGGGCACTGTGTTAAGTATTTTATAACCATTATCTCATTTGGTCTTCATAACCACCACCAGATAATATTATTTGTAGCTGGATGAGGAAAATGAGGCACAGAAATAAGTAACACGCCAAAGGCCATAGCTTCTAAGTGCACAGTCTATGTCCATTAGACAACACAGCCCATGCTTTTAAGTATTATTTCTAACTGATGCAAAGTCATTGTCTTGCTTCTGGAATCTCTCTTTTCATGTAATGATAATAGGGATGATAGGTTACACCAAAGAGGACTTACCTATGTAACAAACAATTCTAAAGGCATTGTATATATTACTTCATTTTACCATGTGGGTACTATTTTCATCTCAGTTTCACAGATGAAGAAACTTAGAGGGACAGTAGTTATGTAACTTGCCCAAGATTACCCAGATAGGACATGGAGAAGCCAGATTTTGCTCCCAGAGGATCTGGATCTAGAATCCACACCCTTAATAATCATGCCAACCGTAGAAAATGGACAATATAAAATTTTACATTATTTTCAGCTCTTTCAATGATTTTGTGAGCATGCTGGCTACATACTGAGGTATGCACTGGGATAGGGATGTAATAACCTTTCCTACACATGCTCCCTTCCAGTCAGATGAATGTATTTTTTTAAAAGAAAGACAATGATATCTTAAAAAGTTTTGGTGATTAAGAAATATGAAGAAGAGGCATTTCCTATTGTTTCCTTGAAATAAAAAGTAAATTTCTGAAAGGGATATAAATAATATCTTAGACTGAGGCATACTGTTGATACTGTTTTTGAAATATTCCATCCACTGGCGGATCGTGGAATCTCCCATTAGATATATGAATTTTCCTCTTAGGCATTCTTTCATTTTGACTGGAGCCAAACTACAGGAGACAGGATTCCAGGTCTCTTTCCAGACATGTCCACCAGGGATTGTGGATGCCACTCCAAACTTGCATTTCTTTTTCACTGTAACTGTTTTTCCTGCCAAAAAAATCAGCAAGATCTAAAATATCACATATTCACTGGTATTTATTAAGAGCCTACTATCTTTTCTAAGTATCCTCTTAATAGGTCATAACGGAGGTGAAAAACCCTACTGAAGCATCATCCTCTTAATGTAATAGTTATTTTTAGTAGAATTTTTCTCTGATACGAATTTTCTAAATGGTGCCCATTAATGTTTAATATAAGAACATGTTTTCTCCTCTTGTTCCCCCCGCCAAAAGAACCCTCTGGGTAAGATTTAAATATTTGAGGGGCACCTGAGTGGCTCAGTCGTTAAGCGTCTGCCTTCAGCTCGGGTCCTGATCCCGGGGTCCTGGAATCGAGCCCCGCATCAGGCTCCCTCCTCAGCAGGAAATCTGTTTCTCCCTCTCCCACTCCCTCTGCTTGTGTTCCCTTTCTCACTGTCTCTCTCTCTCTCTGTCAAAATAAAGAAATAAAATCTTAAAAAAAAAAAATGACTTCCTATGAAAGTAAAGTTACCAATTCTTGCTTAGTAATAAAAACTCAATTATTTTATCATTTTAGCCCACTTTACCCCAAGTTTGTCACACTTTGTCATAGTGTCTTAAATGACACCAACAAACTGTAAATTCTTTGAATATAGGGTCCAGGATGGCAGCATAGGAAGACCCTGAACTCACCTCCTCCTATGGACACACTGAATCTACCACTACATATACAACAATTCCCCCTGAAGAACTGAGGGCTGATTGAACAGCTGCTTCACAACAAGTGATATAGGGACCGCATAGAGGAGGATAAAAAAGATGGAGGCGTGGTAACCATAGGACCTCCACCCCCAGCACAGCAACCTGCATTAGGGAGGGATATCATGGGGGTGCCCACGCACAGACTTGCTTGTCCTGGGGCACAGCAAAAAATAGCTATTTAAAAGGCAACTAGTCTATAAGTGAAGGAAATCCATTTACTCACACTGAATCATCTGCCAAGCAAGTAGGGGAACTACTGAAACTTTCTGGAGTTGGAGATGCTGACAAGTGCCTTTTTTTTTTTTTTTTTTAACATTCCCCCTCCACTGTAATAGCATGGATGGGAGCAGGGTCCAGGTGCTGTAGCCAGCTTACTAGGGCTGCCCTAGCAAGTCCTGGGCCTCTAGTTCACGTCAGCTCCAGCTGCCCCTAAGGGCACCACCCTGTCCCAACCCCCCTTCACAGCGCCCCCCCCCCCCCAGCTCCATCTGTCCTGCGAAGGGGCCCCAGAGTGGCATGCCACAGGATTTCCCCAGGCCATGCCTGACCCAGCCATCTGCCCATGTAGCCCAAGCAGCCCTGGCATGGTGCAGACCATGAACTCCCTGGTATGCACCAACTCCAGACTCAGCCATCTTGCAAGGATGGACATAGCAGGATTCCCTGGCCCATGCCCATTCCAGGCCCAGCTATCTCATCAATAACACCCTGAAGACCCCAGGACCCATGCCTGCTCTAGCCCCAGCCATCCCACCAAAACCACCAGGCACACAGTTTACACAGGGGATGCTCCTACACAAGGCCACTATTTTAAGACTAAGAGAGGTACCTATTCAGCTTAATTCATAGAAAAAACCCCACAAAAAGTCAAGCAAAACAAGGAGCAAAGAATTATGTTCCAAATGAAAAAGGAAAATAAAACCCCAGAAAAAAACCCTAATGAAACAGAGATAACTAATGTACCTGATAAAGAGTTCAAAGTCATGGTTATAAAGATGCTGACCAAAATGGGCAAATGGAGAACTTCAACAAAGAGTTAGAAAATGTAAAAATGAACCAGAGCTAAAGAATACAAACTGAAATGGAAAGTAAACTAGAGTAAATCAACAGTGGATTAGATGAAAGAATGGAACAGCAATCTGGAAGACAGAATAGTGGAAATCACCCAAGCTGAATGGCACAAATACTTTTTTGGGGGGGGGCATTTTCAGGAGTAAAATTTAGTGATTCATCACTGACATATAACCCCCAGTGCTCACCCCAACAAGTGCCCTCCTTAATGCCCATCACCTATTTAGTCCATACCTCCCCCCACCACACCTCCCCTCCAGCAACCCTCAGCTTTTTCTCTATAGTTAAGTCTCTTAACTATAGTTTGGCCTCCCTCTCTGTTTTTATCTTATTTTCCCTTCCCTTCCCCTATGTTCATCTGTTTTGTTTCCTATATTCCACATATGAGTGAAATCCTATGACGTCTGTCTTTCTTTGATTGACGTATTTCGCTTAGCATAATACCCTTTAGCTCCATCCACATTGTTGCAAATGCCAAGATTTCATTCTTTTTGATCACTGAGTAATATTCCAGTGTGTGTGTGTGTGTGTGTGTGTGTGTGTGTATGTTATATATGTTATATATAGATACACACACACCACATCTTCTTTACTCATTCATCAATCAATGGACATTTGGGCTCTTTCCATGACTTGGTTATTATTGATAGTAATGCTGTAAGCATTGGGCTGCATGTGCCCCTTAGAATCAGCATTTTTTTTTATCCTTTGGATAAATACCTAGTAGTGCAATTGCTGGGCTGTAGGGTAGTTCTATTTTTAACTTCCTGAGGAACTTCCATACTATTTTCCAGAGTGTCTGCACTACTTTACATTCCCACCAACAGTGCAAAAGAGTTACCTTTTCTCCACATTCTTGCCAACACCTGTTATTTCCTGACTTGTTAATTTTAGCCATTCTGACAGGTGTGGGTGGTATCTCATTGTGGTTTTGATTTGTATTTCCCTCATGATGAATGATGTTGAGCATCTTTTTCTGTGTCTGTTGGACATCTGGATGTCTTCTCTGGAAAAGTGTCTATTCATGTCTTCTACTCATTTCTTAACTGGATTATTTGTTTTTTGGGTGTTGAGTTTGATATGATCCTTTCAATAGATACAGAAAAAGCGTTTACAAAATACAGTATCCTTACTTGATAAAAACCCTCAAGAAAGTAGGGATAGAAGAAAGATACCTCAACATCATAAAATAAATTTAAAAAATAAAAAAAAAATACATAAGAAGAGTCCAAGGTAGCCATGGAATAACATCAAGAATACTAATATTTAAGCCAAACTGTGGAAAGAGCCAAGATGTCCATCGACAGATGAATGGATAAAGGAGATGTGGTGTATATATACCATGGCATATTATGCAGCCATCAAAAGGAATGAGATCATGTCATTTGCAACGATGTGGATGGAACTGGAGGGTGTTATGCTGAGCGAAATAAGTCAATCAGAGAAAGACATGTATCATATGACCTCACTGATATGAGGAATTCTTAATCTCAGGAAACAAACTGAGGGTTGCTGGAGTGGGGGGTGGGGTGGGAGGGATGGGGTGGCTGGGTGATAGACACTGGAGAGGGTATGTGCTATGGTGAGTGCTGTGAATTGTGCAAGACTGTTGAATCACAGATCTGTACCTCTGAAACAAATAATGCAATATATGTTACAAAAAAAAAAAAGAAGAAGAAGAAGAAGATAGCAGGAGGGGAAGAATGAAGGGGGGGAAATCAGAGGGGGAGATGAACCATGAGAGATGATGGACTCTGAAAAACAAACTGAGGGTTCTAGAGGGGAGGGGGGGTGGGAGGATGGGTTAGCCTGGTGATGGGTATTAAAGAGGGCATGTTCTGCATGGAGCACTGGGTGTTATGCACAAACAATGAATCATGGATCACTACATCAAAAACTAATGATGTAATGTATGGTGATTAACATAACAATAAAAAATTTTTTAACAAAAGAATACTAATATTTACATTATAAGGATCCCAGAAGAAGAAAAAGAGATAAATGGGCAGAAAACTTATTTGAATAAATAATGGCTGAAAACTTCTCTAACCTGGAGAAGGAAATAGACATCCAGGTCTAGGAAGCAAAGAAAGTCCCAAACCAGTTGAATCCAAAGAGACCTATACCAAGATATGGTATGCCAACTAAAATGGCAAAAGTTAAAGATAGAGAATCTTAAAATCAGCAAGAGAAAAACAATCACATACATAGGAAACACCATAAGACTATCAGCTGATGTTTAGCAGAAACTTTGCAGGCCAGAAGGGAGTGGAAGCATATATTTAGAGGGCTGAAAGGATAAACTTACAATAAAAATACTCTACCTAGCAAGGTTATCATTCAGAGTTGAAGGAAATAATAGAGTTTCCTGGAGTAGCAAAAACTAAAGGAGTTAATTACCACTAAACTGCACTTATAAGAAACTATAAGGGGTTTTCTTTTTCTTTTTTTTTTTTTAAAGATTTTATTTATTTATTCATGAGAGATAGAGAGAGAGAAAGGCAGAGGGAGAAGCAGGCTCCCCGTGGAACGGGAAGCCTGATGCGGGACTTGATCCCAGGACCCTGGGATCATGACCTGAGCTGAAGGCAGACGCTTAACCGACTGAGCCACCCAGGTGTCCCTATAAGGGGTTTTCTTTAAACAGAAAATAGGCTATAACTAGAAATATATACATATATTTATATGTAAATATATGGTGTGTGTGTATATATATATATATGAAAAAATCATTGATAAAGGCAAATATGCAATAAAGGCAGTAAATCAGCCACTTAACTAGAATGAAAGTTAAATACAAAAATAGGTTAAACTATGACTATAATAAGCACTTAAAGGATATACAAAATAAAAAGATGTAAAAAAAAGACATCAAAAAAACCCAAATGGGCAGGCGGGTGGGGGCGAGAGTCAAATTGTACTGTTTTAGAATGCATTTGAATTTAAGTGACTATCAGCTTAAAATACACACACACACACACACACATACACACCAATATATGAACCTTATGGTATCCACAAGCCAAAACCTACAATAGATGCACAAAAGAGAAAGGAACCCAAATATAACCATCAAGAAAATAAACCAAAAGGGAAGAGAAAAGAGAAGAAGAAAGGAATAGAAGAACCACAAAAAGAACCAGAAAACAATGAATAAAATAGCAATAAATAAATACCTATCAAGAATTACTTTAAATTTAAATGGACTAAATGCTCCAATCAAAAGGGAAAAAAAGAATCGGCACAAGTTACCAATATTAGAAACGAAAAAGTATCACTAAAGTTTCTGCAGACATTAAAAGGGTAATAAGGCAGTATTACAATAAAGTGTATGCCAACAAATTTCAAAATTTAGATGAAATGGATAAATTCTTTGAAAAACACAACTTACCAAAATCAATACAAGATGAAATAGAAAATCTGAATAGGCATATTCACTATAAATAAATTAAATTTGTAATAAAAGTTCTCAGAAAGAAAAAACAGACACAGGGTGGCAAAAACCAAAACCAAATAAAAAAAAATAATAAGACCACCTGTATGCTGCCTACAAGAGACTCACTTCAGATCTAAAGACATACAAGCTGAAAGTGAAGGAAAACAAGATATTCCATGCAAATGAAAATAAAAAGAAAGCTGGTACACAATATTTGTATAGGACAAAATAGACTTTAAAACAGAGACTGTAACAAAAGGCAAAGAAAGGCATCACTACAATGATAAAGGGCTAAATCCAAGCAGGGGATATAATACTTGTAGTATATATGCAACCCAACATAGGAGCACTTAAATACATAAAGCAAATATTAACAGGCACAGGAGGAAATTGACAGTAATACAATAATAGTAGGAGACTTACATACTCCACACTTCCATCAATGGGTACATCATCCAGACAGAAAATCAATAAGGAAACATTGGTCTTAAATATTAGATCAAATAGACTTAACATATATATAGAACATTTCATTCAAAAACTTCAGAATACACATTTTTTTAAAAAGATTTTATTTATTTATTTGACAGAGAGAGAGACGAGGAGAGAGGGAACACAAGCAGGGGGAGTGGGAGAGGGAGAAGCAGGCTTCCCACCGAGCGGGGAGCCCGACGTGGGGCTCAATCCCAGGACCCCGGGATCATGACCTGAGCTGAAGGCAGACGCTTAACGACTGAGCCACCCAGGTGCCCCAGAATACACATTTTTTAAGGAGCATAGGAAACATTCTCCAGGGTAGATCACATTAGTCCACAAAACAAGTCTCATTAAATTCAAGAAGACTGAAATCTTATCAAGCATCTTTTCCAATGACAGCAGTATGAAGCTAGGAATTGATTACAAGAAGAACTGGAAAAAACATGAACACATGGAGACTAAACAGCATGTTACTAAATGACTAATGGGTTAGAAAGACATCAAAGAGGAAATAAAAAAATACCTTGAGACAAATGAAAATGGAACCACAACTCCTCCAAATCCATGGGACACTGCAAAAACAGTTCTAAGAGAAAGCCTGTAGCAATATAGCAAAAAATAAAGTCCAAATAAACAGTCCAATTTTATACCTAAAGAAACTAGAGAAAAAGAACAAAGCCTAAAGTTAGTAGAAGAGAAGACTTATTTAAGATCAGAGTGGAAATAAATGAAACAGAGACTGAAAAAAAAAATAGAAAAGATCAATGAACTAAAAGCTGGTTCTTTGAAAAGGTAAACAAAATCAATAAATAAACCTCTAGCCAGATCTGTCAACAAAAACGAGAACACAAAATCAGAAATTAAAAAGGAGGAGCACCTGGGTGGCTGTCGATTAAGCATCTGCCTTCGGCTCAGGTCATGATCCCAGGGTCCTGGGATCGAGTTCTGCATGGGGCTCCCTGCTCCATGGGGAGACTGCTTCTCCCTCTTCCTCTGCCCCTCCCCACATTCATGAGCTCTCTCTCTCTCACTCTCAAATAAATAAAATCTTAAAAAATGAAAACAGAGCTTCAAATGATACTACATATATAAAATATCATAAGAGATTATATGAATAATTACATGCCAAAAACTTGGAAAACCTAGAAGAAATGAACAGCTTTCCAACTCTGAATCATAAAGCAACAGAAAATCTGAATAGAACAATTACAAGGAATGAAATTGAATCAGTAATTCAAAACTTTTCAAAAAGCAAAAGTCCAGGACCAGACAGCTTCACAGGTAAATTCTAATAAATAGCTAAAGAAAAATTAATACCTAGTTTTCTCAAATTATTCTAAAAAATTTTAAAGAAAGGAATGCTTCCAAACTCATTTTACGAGGCCAGCACTACCCTGATACCAAAACTAGGCAAAGACCCTTAACAAAATATTAACAAACCAAATTCAACAATACTAATAATAAATTAAAAAGATCATACACCACAACTGAGTGGGATTCATTCCAGGAATGCAAGGATGGTTCAGTACCTGCAAATCAAGGTGACACACCATATTACCAAACTAGGATACAAATCATATGATCACCTTAACAGATGCAGAGAATGAACATGACAAAATTCAATATACATTTATAAGAACTCTTAACAAATTGAGTATAAAAGAAACATATCTCGACATAAGAGACTCTTAGATGGCAGGTTGGAAACTTTTAGATGGTGATTTTTGGGCTTATAGTGATGTGGGAAGGGGATGATGGTTATGATGTGGGGAGGGAAACACCTAGGTGTAGAGAGTTTTGATATTTGAAGGTTATTGTGTTGGATGAGCAGGTAATCTGTTGCCTGATAAATAGATTAATGATGAGTTAAAATTACTAAAACAGGTTTATGATATCCTAGTGATTCCAATCATTTATTCACTTGGGCTCACCACAGAGAAGCCTGATGTGTAGAGTACCAATAGGACTGATAACAGTGAACAAGTCCACCAGAAGAAACCCTTTAAATGAGTTTAGTGCTAAACACCACCCATCATCACAGGGAGAACTTACTGTTGTTGCATTTGGAGACATTAATGGCATTATTTTCCATAATCTCTACACCGACATTTGACCTTAAAGAGACAGATACAGAAATTAATCTGCAGGTGACCCCAAAGATCAGGAAACACAAGAAGCCACATTACTAATTGCTTCAGTTATTTCTTAGTGCTGATAACTGACTACCTTACCCACAGTTCCAGGTCAATGATTAAATTTCCCTTCCTTTGCTTATTAGTCCCAGGGGTACAGATGCCTAGAAGGTGTGCAAGGTAATTTATTGAGGTGCAGTAAGAATATATATTTGAGCACACACTTATGTGTATGTTTCTCATTCCCCTTCAATTTTTATTCTGTTTGTATATCTTTTTGTTTCAATGATAAGGGTTAAATATCCAAAAAGACTGGGGATGACTGGAATGTAAACACTGTCCCCAAATGAATTCACAGATTTTTTCCTAAAATGGCTCTTCACAGAGTCCCAAAATTGATATATTCATAGCACTTTCCTTTGGATCAACATGGAGGCTAAATCATTACCATATTTTCCCAGGGAGTCTCCAGAAATAATTATTTACCTTTCAAAGAGGCTCCATTCTTGTCTGCTAAGATAAGAAACATCCGTGTTTTTGGATTGCATGTGAGTGAGTGCAGCACACGGCATGTGCTGAGGTCTCACACAGTAGAAGGCTTCTTGGTCTTGAGCATCCAGGTACTCACACAGCTCAGCACTGGAGTTTAAAACCAGGGCACAATCAGTATTGACATGGGAGGTGCCACTGGCAAACTGGCCTGTGAAGATCACCCTGTCATAGCCTTGGTTCCTTGCCCTCCAGAGAGCCGACACTCCTTCACTGGGGTGGATGAGCAGGAGAGACAAAGAGACCCAGCCCTCCCAGAAGAGGGTGAAACTGACAAGGTAAGTGCCGTTGTTGAAGTCTGTCACCTTTCCTGAAGCACCTGCCTTCAGCGCTGGGGAGGACATCCTGGCCCTCAGGAAATCCCCACCATATTCCTTCCTGCGTTCCAAGCGGTCCCTCGCCTCCAGGAGGATGTCTAGTTGATCCCCCCTGCAGTAGGTGTCTCGAGAGTGGAGGATGGTGGCTGTGCTGTGTGTGGCACTGGTGGTGGTGTTCATGTGGGTGAAAGGTCTGGGGGGGATCAGCTGGTCTAGTTTTTCCATGATTCTCTTTATTCTTAGCTCAGTCTCTGCTGATGAAACTACTGGATGCAGTGGTAATTCAGGACTTGAGGACTTCATGATAAAGTTCCAGTGATGGAGGGAGATGGGCAACTTAAGTGCAGTCCATATCTGAAATGATAATGAATACAATAAAGAATATAGAGACTGTTTTATGTAATATAATAATTTTTGGTAAGTTAGCCAACTTTGATCTTTTATATAATAATGGGAGATATAAAATAAAATGATATTGAGATTTTATTATCATATATGTTTCATGGGCAAAATAATTTGGTGGTGGAACTCCATTTTTCACTGGCTGATATATTTTGGGTTCTAGAATCTTCTTCCTTAGAGTGGTGACGATAAAATACACCTTTGCTGGGCAGTTGTGAAGACGTGGAAAAATGTTTTTTAACTGCATAGCACACAACAAATGTTTACCGTTCTATTATTTTTTAATCTTAAAACTAGAATTCAGTCATTAAAAAAATCCTTAAGAAAATGTTTAAGATGCATGGGGCTTTTATGTAAAATATGATTATTTTTTTCTATTTGATATTTTGTATGTTGCTTAAACATCCTATGATATTTATTAGTATTTTTCAGATTGTTTTAGTTAACTTAGGAGATAATAAACATAGGCTTACAAAAATATTTATTTTCTAATCATAAATTAACACTGATTATTAAAAATGGGAGAATGCCAAACTGTATAGGAAACAAAAATCAGTGACAATTATGACAACCATAATTGGTTGAATCTGTCATAATTGATAACTACTGTTAACATTTTGGTGATTTTTCTTTCATTCTCTATATGCTATTTCACATGATTGTGAACAAACCGAATATTACCAATGAATTTTGATATTTTTAAAAACAGTGTTGTTAAAAACTCCACCTTATGTCACTGGCTCACATAGTATTCCAGCCTATGGATACAGCTTAATATTTTACATATTCCCACCTTTTTGGACATTTATTACACTCAACTTTTCTCTTGCTTATACTTCAGTATAAATGTTTTGGTATAAATCTTTGCAATCCAGGTTATTTGTAAGAACTCAGAAATAGAATTATTTTGATCCAATGTGGTGAACACTATTAAAGGTCTTTTTTTTTTTAATTTATTTGTGAGAGAGAGAGAGCATGTGAGCACAAGCAGAGGGAGCGGCAGGCAGAGGGAGAAGCAGCTTCCCTGCTGAGCAAGCCCAGTGTGGGACTTGATCCCAGGACTCGGGGATCATGACCTGAGCCAAAGTAAAAATTGTAATTTTGTAATAATATGACAATGATAGCATAAAGAATGGGGTGGCAAATAGATGGAAGTAAATAGTTGAAAGGTTATTACAGATCACATGAAGTAGCATGATATTAACTATAAAAGAACATGCATTATAATCCCTAGAGGAACTACTTAAAAAAAAAAAAACTTACAGCTGTAAAAATAATAAAGAAACTAACAGGAAATTCTAAAAAAAAAAAATCAATTAATCCAAAAAGAGGAACAGAGGGGCCAAAGAGAAAACAAACAGTAAACTGATGGACCTAAATCCGCTCAAAAATTTCATTAACAATAAGTTGACTAAACATGCTATTACAAGACAGAGATAAAAAAGCAAGACCCAACTATTTGCTGCTTATCAAAAATGTAGTTTAAGTATAAAGTTATCTATAGATTGAAAGTAAAGATGGGAAACATGCCATGTAAGCATGAAAAAGCTAATATTAATGTTAAAATAGACTTCAAGACAAAGCATGTCACCAGACATAGAGATGGACATTTCACAGTGGTAAGAGTCAATTTGTCAGAAAACATAGCATCATAAATGTGTATTGTACCTACACGTACATGTGTTTATAAGTGAAACAAAAATTGACAGAATTAAAGGGACATAAAAATCCACAATAATAATTAGAAACTTAAAACCTGTCTCAGTAGTTGCTATAGGAACTTAAAACTACTGTCTCAGTAGTTGCTATTTATTTAGATAAAAAAATGAGTAATGACCTAGAGAATATGTACATTAATCATCACAATACCTTATCAGGTACTTAACCATCACAATACATTATCAGGTACTTTTTAATTGCTACAACTTCAGCAAATGGAAATTTTAAGTGATTTTTAGTATGATAGAATACTACTCTGGACAAAAAATTTTTTTGGTAAAAATAAGCAGGAAAACCTGATTCAAGATGGAGGACAAAGGGGTGCCTGGGTGGCTCAGTTGGTTGAGTGACTGCCTTCGGCTCAGGTCATGATCCTGGAGTCCCTGGATCGAGTCCCACATCAGGCTCCCTGCTCGGCAGGGAGTCTGCTTCTCCCTCTGACCCTCTTCCCTCTCATGCTCTCTGTATCTCATTCTCTCTGTCTCAAATAAATAAATAAAATCTTAAAAAAAAAAAAAAAGATGGAGGACAAAGGACATATTATAGCCTCAATTTCCCACCAGAAAATCTAACGAAAGATAGAAAAAAAATTAAAAATTTCTAAGTATTCTAGGAAATAGGATGAGATACCTTAATTAGACCAGAATTTATAAGAAATCTGAAAAATAGGGGTGCCTTGCTGTCTCAGTTGGTAGAGCATAAGATTCTTGATCTCAGGGTCATGAGTTTGAGCCCCACACTGGGTGGAGAGATACCTCAAAAAAAAAAAAAGAAATCTGAAAAACAAAAGGCAGATGAACTTAGATCAATGAAGAAAACCATGGCTCCAAATGCATGTCAATGAGAATTCTGCAGAAGATGGAAGCCACTCCAAGGATACTCCAAACTTGGAGGAAGTTGATAATTGGAATAAGAGAGGATAAAGGAGTAGCCCATGGGAGGACATACTGGGCTGGTTACTGCTTCCCTATTTTTCCACCTGTGCCTGGCCAGGCAGCTAGAAATGGGGACTTCTGTACTTTACTGTGCATAAAAACTCTAGGTATTTAAGTTGGAGGGTGTAGGATAGGACCCTGTGTGCCTGGCAACACCCCAGACAAATGGGGAGCATTTATTGCCTTGAGTACTTTTGCAGCTCTGCTACAAACATGCTGGAGAAAATAGGTAACAGGACTCAGTCTGGCCACCATAGAACCTTAAGTATAAGAATGGACATACAACCAAGGATTCGCAAAAATTTTATGAAAGCCAACTCAAGAAAGAAAAGTATCAAGTTCAGTAAAGAGAAGACAAAGGAACAGAAATAGAAAATGCACAACAAAACTTTAGAGCAAGTATATTTCTATCCTTGGGGAGATGCTAGGTGATATTTGCATCCCTCAACTAATGAATCAGAGACCTTGCAAAGCAAAATATTGCTGTTCAATATGCAAAAGTCAACTGCATTCTTCTACACCAGCAAGAAGGAATTAGAAAATGCTAAGGGAACATAATAATAAAAAAATAAAAAATAAAATAAAAACACCATTTACAACAGCAACAAAAAAATTATAAAGTACCTAGTTATAAATCTAATAAAAGATGTAGAAGACAGGTATCCAAAAATTTTTAAATTTACTGAAAGATCTTGAAGAAAACCTAAATAAATGGACAGAGATTACATGTTTGTAAAGAGTAAAATAATATTATAAACATGTCAGTTTTCCCAATTTGAACTGCATGGTTAATGTAATGCACATAAAATTTAAGTAAGATTTTTCCATCATATCTGACAGACTGACTCTAAAACATATAATAATAAAAGAGTAAAGGGCCAATCCTGGCCGGGAAACTTGTGAAGTAGATTAAGTGGTGGTAACTTGACCTAGAAGCTTTCATGACTAACTATGAAACTAATTATTATTATTATTATTTATATTAATTATAGCAATGTGGTATTGATACAGGGAAGATACATAGGTCAATGGAATAGAACAAAGAGAACAGAAAGGGACCCATCCTGATCAGAAATTTTGATACATGACAAGAATCAGCATAGAAAGAAACAACTACAAAATAAGAAGACCTGAAAAGGTGATCATCCATACAGAAATAAAAATCAGCAAAAAAAAGAAAATTCAGATCTGTTGCAGAGTTAAATGTCTAGAGCAACCTTTAAAAGCTTAAGTAGAATATTTAGATAAATAATCTGACACTGAAGTAGGGAAGGGTTTCTTAATACTCAAAAAGAATTGACTGTTTAAAAAGGCAGATAAATTTTACTATGTAGACAGGAAAATGTATTGTTCAGAAATTCCCTTAAAGGTGAAAAAACAAGCTAAACATTGGGAGAAAATCATTGCAGGGGCATTTGTAAGTGACAAAAGAAGTGTGCATGCATACACACACACGCGCATACACACACACACGAACACAACATCCTCCTCACCCAAGCTGCATAATAATCAAATATGTTGATTCTTTTATTTGTTTTTTATTAAGTAGGCTCCACACCCAGCATGGAGCCCAACGTGGGGTCTGAACTCATCACCCTGAGATCAAGATCTGAGCCAAGATCAAGAGTTGGACACTCAACCAACTGAGCCCCTCAGGTGTCCCCAAATAAGTTGGCTCTTCAAAGTTGTGTAAGCTGTTGAAATTCCCCTACTACAATTTAGTAAGTCTCATTGTTTGGACTTTCCTTTTTTTTTTTTAATCTTTTCTTTCCTTTCCTTTCTTTCTTTTCTTTCCTTCTTTTCTTTTTTTCTTTCTCTTCCTTCCTTCCTTTCCTTTTCTTCCTTCCTTCCTTCCTTCCTCTCTCTAAGATTTTTTATTTGTCAGAAAGAGAGTGCAAGAGCACAAGCAGGGGGGAGCATGGCAGGCAAAGGGAGAAGCAGGCTCCCTGCTGAACAAGGAGCCAGATGCAGAACTTGATCTCATGACCTTAACTGTCTAAGCCACGCAGGCATCCCTGTTTGAATTTTCCTAGAACAGGTAAAGTATGAAGTAAAAGTAAGACACAGAAAGAAAGCAATTCCTACCTTAGTGGAATTTTGAAAAACTGTAAAAATGATCCAGGAGGCCAATATAAACTGTATCAACAGTGATTTACGATTTGCCATACTTCTCATGATGAGGATCCTACAAGAGATAATACAAAACAAACAAATGCACAGCAGAAAGAAAATGCAGAAATACATGAAAAGTTTATACCTCTTGATTCTTTTGTCCTAAGTTTCTCCCAGAACAGAACCTTGCCCTGCTCCTACATAGAAGCTGCTCTTATTGTCCTCCCAGCGGCCATCTTTGGCGATCAGCTTGTACCTTCAACAGAAACGCTGTTCTGAGACAGGAAGCCCACCATGGATTCTATGAAACTGAGCCGTTAATGGCCTGGAGGATGCAGGGTTGCTCATGTTTAGGTGTCCAGGCTATTTTGTTCCCTAACAGATTTCCTATTCTCTTCCCTTAAACACAAACTGTAGATAAAACATCTCAGCAAATGTTGACCCTGATCATCATTTTATCCCAAGGCCTTTTAAAAATTTTTTAATTGTTATGTTAATCACCATACATTACATCATTAGTTTTTGATGTAGTGATCCATGATTCATTGTTTGTGCATAACACCCAGTGCTCCATGTAGAACGTGCCCTCTTTAATACCCATCACCAGGCTAACCCATCCTCCCACCCCACTCCCCTCTAGAACCCTCACTTTGTTTTTCAGAGTCCATCATCTCTCATGGTTCGTCTCCCCCTCTGATTTCCCCCCCCTCCATTCTTCCCCTCCTATCTTTATTTTTTTTCTTAACATATATTGCATTATTTGTTTCAGAGGTACAGATCTGTGATTCAACAGTCTTGCACAATTCACAGCACTCACCATAGCACATACCCTCCCCAGTGTCTATCACCCAGCCACCCCATCCCTCCCACCCCACCCCCCACTCCAGCAACCCTCAGTTTGTTTCCTGAGATTAAGAATTCCTCATATCAGTGAGGTCATATGATACATGTCTTTCTCTGATTGACTTATTTCGCTCAGCATAACACCCTCCAGTTCCATCCACATCATTGCAAATGGCAAGATCCCATTCCTTTTGATGGCTGCATAATATTCCATTGTATATATATACCACATCTTCTTTATCCATTCATCTGTCGATGGACATCTTGGCTCTTTCCACAGTTTCCCAGGGCCTTTTTAATGTAACTTGGTTTTTCCAGCTTCCTTATTACAATTCTATTATTAGGTTCCTTTTTCTTGTCTTAACCAGCTTTTCTAGTACTACCAAAGCCGAAAAAGTTTGTTACATCTTCATTTGTCATTGGGTAAGAATTTCAAGTTGTCTTTTAAAAGCAGATTGCTTAAATGCTGCCTTTCTAAAATTTTCCATCTTTCAAATTGACTCTCCCCTCGAAGCACCTCCTACCCTAGATTCCCAGTTGATACATATACGTTAGAAGTTTCTGTACCAAAGAGTAAGTGTTACCTCTTCCCCCACCTGCACAATTTGGAGAATGTTTTCGTACCTTTAAAGATTACGTTCAATCCTATGCATAGGACCTGCTGTCATCTGGGGCTTTCTTTTGAAGCCACCAGTGTACTACTGGGGTGTGTCTCCTCTGTGCTAAAAGAAAACACAGGTAGGAGCTGCAGCCTGCATACTTTTGGCTGGGATCCACAACCTTCTGCTTATTTCCGTGAAGGGGACTCTACCCTAAGGGGAGGCCTAGATCACAGACTACAGTTACTAGTTCGTGCATAATGGGGGAGGAAAAACGAAATCCTCAGTACAGATTAGATAATTTTAATGTCTTTAGACCTTATTAGTCTAGTTACAGTACACATACAATAAAAATCCAACAACAACAACAAAAAGAGTGAATGAAGCTGAACGTTTGAATGATTGAGAGTAGTCAGCCATTCCCGAAAAGCTGAAACTGCCTAGATTCCATTTGAACCTTGTCATCAAGACCCACTTGCCAGGATTCAAGTGCATATTATCTTGGACATAGTAGGTACTCCATAAAATTTGCTGAATTGAATTAATAAAACCTCAGATACAACAGAGGCAAGACAATGATATTAACTCTCAAGACAAGAGAGTGAATGGCTTATACTTACGAGTTTGAATCTATCTGGGGTTTGCAGTCTTGAACTGATAGAAATGGTGCCCAAAAGAGCAGGTACCCAGGACTATTGCACCAGTGTCCATAGAAAGCAGTAGCTGATTACACTGTGGATCCCTCTACAGTCTCATTTGTACTGTCCCACAGAGGCAGTTAAACATATTTAAACATGTCCATCTGTCTATGAAAGAATCGAGGTCTGTTTCATAAGGACATAATAATCCTTCCAACATCCTTGATTGTGCTCTACTGAACTGGCCTTAACAATACTTCTTTATGTCTTTACGTGATGACAGTTGGAGAAACTGTTTTAACCTTACGTGTATGACTGGGTTTAGTCATACCCATTCTGGACCATTCTGTCCTAGGGAGCCTCTAAGAGACAAATATTTGCAGTTCTGGTTTGGTTGCTTCTTAGGAGACCAGTGTTAGCAAGCACTCAAGTTTGCCACCTACTGATACACAGATTTATGGGTTTTAATTTGTTCTAGTTATATAGAGGCTGATATTTAATGTCAACTTGACATCTCTTCAGGAGGCAGGAATAACGAATCTGCTTGACTTAACTGAGAGTGTAGAATTTAAATGGTTTGTCCAGATCATCTAGTATGCTTTGAAACAGAGCTGAGATTAGGATTCCTGTCACTTTGACCTCTGATTTAGAGCACTTTCCACCATGCAGCATGACTCCAACAGAAATGGTCTAACCAAGTTCAGGTAAATCCCGTGGTTCATATATTTATTGTCCATTATGCCTAAAAGACCCCCAACCCCCTTAAACCACCTGAAAGCCTGATCTGAGCAAGATAAATGGTCATCATTAGTGCGTTCTCCTTGCAGTTAGTGTGTGGCTTTGTCATTATCTTTGACTGAGTAGCTTCATTTTCCCCTACATTTATAGGTCTAAATGAGGGATATAAACATGAGAGCTCAGGCAAGGGAACGTGGGACCATGTGTTTACAGAATAAAATACAATTCAGGAGGTCATCAGTTCTTTGGGGGTATGAGTAGGGCAAGAGTAGTGCTGACCAGGATCTAAAAGAGCCCAAGCACTTGAAAAAAGCATGGAAGTTATTAGAGAAACCCTTTCTGGAGAAATAAAAGAACTGAAATCTAACCAAGTCAAAATCAAAAAGGCTATTAATGAGGTACAATAAAAAATGGAGGCTCTAACTGCTAGAATAAATAAGGCAGAAGAGAGAATTAGTGATATAGAAGACCAAATGATGGAAAATAAAGAAGCTGAGAAAAAGAGAGATAAACAACTAATGGATCATGAGGGCAGAATTCGAGAGATAAGTGATACCATAAGACGAAACAACATTAGAATAATTGGGATCCAGAAGAAGAAGAAAGAGAGGGTGGGGCAGAAGGTATATTGGAGCAAATTATAGCAGAGAACTTCCCTAATTTGGGGAAGGAAACAGGCATCAAAATCCAGGAGGCACAGAGAACCCCGCTCTAAATCAATAAAAATAGGTCAACACCCCGACATCTAATAGTAAAACTTATGAGTCTCAGAGACAAAGAGAAAATCCTGAAAGCAGCTCAGGAGAAGACATATGTAACCTACAATGGTAGAAACATTAGACTGGCAACAGACCTATCCACAGAGACCTGGCAGGCCAGAAAGGACTGGCAGGATACATTCAGAGCACTAAACGAGAAAAATATGCAGCCAAGAATACTATATCCAGCTAGGCTGTCATTGAAAATAGGAGAGATCAAAAGCTTCCAGGACACACAAAAACTAAAGGAATTTGCCAACACCAAATAAGCCCTACAAGAAATATTGAAAGGGGTCCTCTAAGCAAAGAGAGCACCTAAACGTAACATAGACCAGAAAGGAACACAGACAATACACAGTAACATTCACCTTACAGGCAATACAGTGGTACTAAATTCATATCTTTCAATAGTTACCCTGAATGTAAATGGGCTAAATGCCCCAATCAAAAGACACAGGCTATCAGATTGGATAAAAAAACAAGACCCATCAATATGCTGTCTGCAAGAGACTCATTTTAGACCCGAAGACACCCCCAAATTGAAAGTGAGGGGGTGGAAAACCATTTACCATGCTAATGGACATCAAAAGAAAGCTGGGGTGGCAATCCTTATATCAGACAAATTAGATTTTAAAACAAAGACTATAATAAGAGATGAGGAAGGACACTATATCCTACTTAAAGAGTCTATCCAACAAGAAGATCTAACAATTGTAAATATCTATGCCCCTAACATGGGAGCAGCCAATTATATAAGCCAATTAATAAGAAAAGCAAAGAAACACATTGACAACAATACAATAATAGTGGGGGACTTTAACACCCCCCTCACTGAAATGGACAGAACATCTAAGCAAAAGATCAACAAGGAAATAAAGACTTTAAATGACACACTGGACCAAATGGACTTCACAAATATATTCAGTACATTCCATCCCAAAACAACAGAACACATTCTTCTCTAGTGCCCATGGAACATTCTCCAGAATAGATCACATCCTAGGTCACAAATCAGGTCTCAACTGGTACCAAAAGACTGGGATCATTCCCTGCATATTTTCAGACCACAATGCTTTGAAACTAGAACTCAATCACAAGAGGGAAGTCGGAAAGAACTCAAATACATGGAGGCTAAAGAGCATCCGACTAAAGAATGAATGGGTCAACCAGGAAATTAAAGAAGAATTAAAAAAAATTCATGGAAACCAATGAAAATGAAAACACAACTATTCAAAATCTTTGGGATGCAGCAAAGGCAGTCTTAAGAGGAAAGTATATAGCAATACAAGCCTTTCTCAAGAAACAAGAAAGGTCTCAAATACACAACCTAACCCTACACCTAAAGGAGCTGGAGAAAGAACAGCAAAGAAAGCCTAAACCCAGCAGGAGAAGAGAAATAATAAAGATCAGAGCAGAAATCAATGAAATAGAAACCAAAAGAACAGTAGAACAGATCAACGAAACTAGGAGCTGGTTCTTTGAAAGAATTAATAAGAT